TCATACTTTCCTTCATCGGAGTATATCGACCCAGCGCTATAGGTCAGGAGCCTGTTTAGTAAGGCTATCTAGATAGATTTCCATCGGAGATTTCCCAGCTTCCGTCGATCATTTATCCTGTCTTGATTGCGACTCGTCGAGCCCGTACGATGCACCATGAATGCGAATAATTTAGCCGAGATGCGTGGTGGAAAAATCGCGGACGGACGGTGAACGATCTGGTCGCGGATTGGTCGGTTCGGTGCGGTCGGTGGGTTAAGTGAATTTGCCAGCTTCATTGAACACCACGCGACGCTCTTCGCGTTTCTCGCGGAGTCCGCTTCATCAACAGGGGCGTCCCGTTGCGATTGCGTCGGGCATCGCGGCGCATCATATCAGCACCGGTCGACCGCCAACCGCACGCAGAGCCAAAATTGAGGTCTTCGTGACCAGACTCGAGTTGTAAGCGAAAAAGTCAGAATACCCGGCAGCAAGTTTCGTTCATTTCGTCGCAGTGTTCGAAACTCACAGGCGTCAACGCGCCAAATGCGCCTAAAAGATGAAGGCTCTGCGCCAACGTGGCCCCTAAAAAATTACCCCCTTCCCCCTAAAAAAACCCTAATATTTCTTTTTCGAAATTTCCCCCAAGTACGGCTACTAGTTCTGCGACTAAAACATCTTTTATCTTTTGCCTATCCCTGTATAGGCATGTGCGTGTGTTTTCCTGACAAAATTACCCGGGAAAGAAGATTTTCACTGCGATTTCCCTTAAAAGCTCACTTTCCTCGAGACGGGATGGTTCTGACTCAGATCCCTTGGCCCTTGTCTCCGATCTCGGAGTCCTCTTCCATGCAGGACATTCTGGGAAAAAATCCTTTCTCAGAAAACTCAGATGCTCCTTTTCGACCCCCGCCCCCCTTTATGGAAGGCATGCACTTACTTTTAAAGTTTTCTCCGGGCTGAGCTGAGGACTTTCTCTGGAATGACCCATTTTCGTCCAAAGGCCCTATGACGGTCTCGGCGTGCCGCTTGTGCGGCGGTTAGCGGCCGCATCAATCGGATTAAATTACTCGAGTCGAAGAAATGACCGGAATCGTGGGAAATGTTGTACCTGCCATCCGCATAACCCCCCCGTCCTGAGCCTCCCCCTTCTCCCCCCCTCCGATTGGCTCGATGGCTCGCACTGTTTGTTTTCCGTTCGCTGCCTCTCGTCGGTGCTGCGCGCGCCGCCACATTTGACCGGAAAATCCCTTCCTCGAGTTCCTCGTCGAGATCTTGTACATTCTCAAGGCCTGCGCAACATAAAGAATATTTGATCTTTGAATGTGTATACTATGGTACATTTTTCAATCCCCAAATCGATTTATGGGTTGTACTAATTTCAACTGGTCCTTATCATTTGAAACAGTCGATGTCAAAACTTCACCCGCACAAGAAGTGAAAAATCGGGTTTTTGGCGGGGAACTCTCTTTGAAAGAAGTCTCATCATCAGGGAGAAAATTTCACAAGAACTCCGAAATTTGCATGTGCTTTTCGAAAAAAAGTTTCCCTTTTAGATCACTTCACGCAAAAACTTTACACGCTCCAAAATGAAGTTGGTTAGATATTCAACGCAAATCAAATAGGGTTTTCAAATTTTGTCATGCCTTCGAAGTATTAAAAACATTACCTGACACAAGAAACCACTATTCCAATTTTGGCCCATCCATGAAAGCATCCTATCTGCATAGGGAGACGTATGGCTCATAAGTCGTTTCTAAAATAATCCAGAAACAATAGTTTCTAATTGCTAAATGAAGTTCATACATCCTAGTCAACGTTCTTCTCATACTCTGTTCACTAAAAAATAGTAAACTTTTTTTCCTTCGTTTTTGAAATTTAACTTTTTGGGCTTGAACAGGTTTTAACATTAACTGATTCATGTATGGTGCGTTTCGCCGAGGCAAAATTTTAAAATCATTCTCGCTCGATACTTCCCTGCGATGGCCCAAAACCTCCTAATGAAACCTTACAATGAAATCCTTTTACTGATGGCACTGGTAAGGAAATATCGAGGTGAAACTAACGTCCAAACACTTTGGTCAGCCGCAATCAGGATACCATCGGAACCTGTCTGCGCGAATTTCGGTTCGCAATAAATTATCGACTGTCAATGTAAGTGCATTGCTTAATTTCGTGGTTCCCACACTTGCCGCGAAAGCATCCCACCGGCACCGCGGATGTAGACACCTCGAACGCTAAGAGTGACTTGAAGTTTTGGGCGTATAAAATTCCGTTTTCTAGATTTTATCGTTTTCCTCGAATTGAGAGGGCAAAAGCCTCTATGGATTTCCTCCTTTTTGTTTATTCATCATTTCCGATTAAATTTTTCAGCAGTTGATGAAGAATTCAGAAAAATATCATATTTGCGAGTTGCGGTATCGGATTCAAGCTGACTATGAGCTCGGAAGTTTAACGCTCCAATTTCATTTGCACACCCATGGAGTGCAATGCGCATAAACATTCTGCAACAATCCACTGCACTAAGCGTAACTTTCTGCAGTTTCAGCTCTGAAAATAATCCTGTGCGCTGCATACTAGTAATGCCCGAGAATTTTGCTATTTCATCATAATTTTTCCCATTTTCCTAGTCTCTCGCTTTTTCTTCCTGTATTCCAAGGATTTTTTGAATTCTGAAATTGCAAAGCAAGTTTTTGGCGAATACTTTCGACGCTTAGGATCGCTTTTTGCCTATACCTTTCCAAGTGAAGGCAAATCATGTAGCAGTAAGTAAGAGTGAGCTAATAGCAAAATAAAGTTTTTTCCAATTAGGGAGGCATGATGACTAAAAAGAGACTTATTTTGATGTTGGATAATTTGGTTTTTCTTCAAAACTTTTCTTTTTCTCAATTAAAAAAACAGAATTCTATAATGCCGCTTGCCGATTTGACTATCCGCCGGAAAATGTAACCCATTGCTTGATTAATGAAGATTGCTTAATGCAATGTTTCGGGATACCGCTTTCTGTTTAATTGGGTCGTTAAATTCAGACTTGAGCCCTTGACGTAAAATGCTGTTTAAAGAGTGATCACGGTCTGGAAAAGCCCGGATACCACAAAACTTACAGTAAAGTATAAAAAAAGAACCCAAAAGCGAGGAAAAAAATTTCATCAAGGAAAAGGTAAATTCTGACGTATTTCAAAGCTGCTTTTCTACGAGCCTTTTTAAATTGTTCTATTCCATCCTGTATTGTCTCAAAGGCCAGGAAATCACGACATCGGTCAAAGAAAACTTGAAAAAGTTTGTTACGAGAGCTCTTTGTCTTCACTACCCCTCATTTTCAGTTTCATGTAGAGCATGAAGTTTAATTAAATATACGTCAATATTTAGCTCCGAACACGGTATAGCAGAATTTAAAGTCTCAACGACTTTGAACCGCACACCTCAATCCAGCTCGGACCATTCTTTCATTTCAAATTCCCAGAAGGAAAACTCATGTAAAAAGTGGTACCAGTACCCCAATTTTCAATTTTCCGGCTCGGGGGTCCATTTTCCGATGGACGGTGACGAAAGCGACGAAACTAGACGTGGCAAGGGCGCGCTCGTCCGGCGATCGGCCGTGTCCGCGGCTCATCAACACTCAACAGTTTTACGTGGAGCGCCCGGCAAGTCCGGAGCTTTCGGTCCGTGTCGGCCCGGACGGACAGGAGTGCGGCGATCGGACTTCCTCCGGCTCGAAATGATTTTAAAGAGCGATTTAATTGGCTCATTCGGTAATAATACGCTCCGAATCGAGTGTATTTTCATTTTATTTACCCTTCCGCTCGGCGAGTCCGGCACCGACCGACACCTCGGCCCCTGTCGCGCCTTCCCGCCCCCCCCCCCCCCCCCCCCCCCCCCCCCCCCCCCCCCCCCCCCCCCCCCCCCCCCCCCCCCCCCCCCCCCCCCCCCCCCCCCCCCCCCNGGGGGGGGGGGGGAGCTCCCGGTGCTCCCTCCTCGGTTCGGGGTGTCCGAGTCGGAGCCTCAACTGTGAAAAACTGAATTTAAATTCACGACCGGTCACGAGTTTTCGAGTCGAATCCTTAATCCGAGTACATTGCGGGCACCGAAAAATGAACTCGGGAGCAGGTACGTTAAATGAGCATAAAATCTAACTCGGTGCTTGCGCACTTCATACCGGGATTGGATTGAGTTCTCTGGAAAAACTTTACGGGCTGTATAGAAATACCGTCCGTCACGGGCTCAGAGGCCGAAAGTTCCGGATGCTGGAGCTGTAGCCTCGAATGCTCTGGGTGCCACGTCCGGAACTTTCAGCCTCTGAGCCTGGAACGAGGTTGGAATGTCTATACATATACAGGGTTTTCCATATCAGGGAAAACCGGAAAATGTCAGAGAATACCTGAAAATGTTAGGGAAAATGACGAAAGTGTCTCGGAAAATCAACAAGTAACCTTAATTTGCTATCTGAAATAAGTTTGACGTTTCAAACATCAAATTTTGCCTGAAATCTTTTTCAAACTATGTCTTTTTAACCATCTGGCATATCTTCAATTGTCAGGGATTTTGACCAAAAAGTGTCAGATAAATCAGAGAATTCCATTTTCTAAATTCTGTGGCAACCCTGTGTACAGGCAGTAAGTACGGCTTCCACGGCCAAAAATTTTGTGACGTTCAAATTTAGTCATGCTCTTTTGCCTCGGGAACGACTGACTCTCATAGTCAGCGATTGTGGGAGTAAAACAGTTTTTTACGGACATGATTGCGGAATAATTCAAGGAATGTTTAGCAGTGAATGGACTCCGTGGAACAGAATTTCAACTCGTTCTTACATTTCCTGGCACTGGTTTTGGTAACAGCACGAATTTCCTTGTAGTAGCGAGGGAGCGAGTTGAAACACCTACATGTCATTGACGGAAGCGCTTGTCGGGGAGGGCAAGAATTTTCTCCTCGTCAAGACAGAGGTATTCGTATCCTTTCTGTTTTTTTGGGAAACGCAGTAAAATAAATTGCTTGTAACCGCAATTTTATGTTCTGATTCGCAGATAACCACATGATCAACACAAATTGCTCTTCTTCTCACGGCCGGAAAGCGCTTTGTTGCAAAATGTCAGTCGAGTTCGACGTGTTTCTGGAGAGCAACGAAAAGTAAGTTGTGCATCCGTTTTTACCTTTTTAATTATATTTTATATTTATATTTCCTTTCGATGACAAATCGCAGTATTGAATTCTCTCTTCTCTCTTTTCGCGGGAAAAATTAGGATTCGTCACAACCATCCAATTTTTTCCGTGTTTATATTTGTTCAACGCGAGAAATTGTTTTTTTTTTTTCCTTTTTTTCTTTTTTTTCAAACATATTTTGCAGAATTGTACACGCAATCAGTGTGAAAGGGCCACCGGAAAAGAAAAGTATAAAAATGTACTCCAGATCAGATAGAGAGGTTAATTTTTAGAGACCTCCGCCAACTCTCCTCATATTTAGTGAGTTCCGATCATATTTTCCTACAAAGCATGCACATCCAGGGAAATATTTACTATACGTGAGTTCCGATCATTATTTTCCTATAAATAATGCACATTCAGGGAAATTCCCCCTGGCGATTGGCGCGTGAGAGCGTTTCCTAGAAATAAATTTTGCGACAGTCAGACAATGCTCCGAAGTTCAGAAACAGCAATATTTCAAATTATCGAGGGGGACAATATTTACGTCCACGTAGCATCAGCGTACAAACAAAGCGAGTGAAATTTTTGCCCTTATTCTCGCGCGTCCGGGGAATCTCTTTATTTTCGCTCTTCTTCATGCTGAACAGGCATTTCAAGGTGGCAAATATTTTTGTTGAGCGGCGAGTAGAACATTGCGCCGAACGAAATTCCCGACGCATGAAGGAGTACATGCACAAGGAATCCAATCACCCGCGTCTTTGTCCGGTGTCCACCCAGCGCAGTGCGCATTCTTGCTCGGTCATTTAAAAGTATCACTCACGCACTGCAAATGCTCAGACGACTGTAATTAAATCCTCACTTGCAATCGGACTGGGTGTTTCCAGCATAGTCGCGCACATTTAATACCTACAGGGTGTTCCAAAGGTCCCGGGACCCTTGAATTTCCGATCGCTGCACCGAGAAATCTGAGAATCCTCCAGCTGTATGTTGAAATCTGTCATTTAACGGCTGGCAAGACGAAGCGACTTTTTTCGTCCATTTGTTCAAATTGGAACCTCTCCTCTGCAGAAAAAAAAATAAATAATAAAAAAATATAAAACAATGTATAAAAATAATAAATAATAATTAATATAATATAAAAAATAAAATAAATAATTTTGGCTTTAACGCGCAGTCATTCTGAAAAATGGCAAAAATTTCTCACATTTTGTCGTATTCAAAAAATTTGTTCTCAACGGGGAATCATTTTGAAAATCTGTCTCCTCGAACAATAGGTAAAACTCTGACAAAACATTTCTCAAACTTTTCCATATCTCTTTAAAAATAAAAAAATAGATTACATTGTAAAGAGGCTATACATGTTTTTAATATTTAAAATTTAAACTCTTTTGAAAGAAGTATTGGATGAAGACGAAACAAATCGCTGGCTGTTTTTAACTATATTGAATGCCGAACGTCGTTTCAAGGCTTCCCACAATCGAAAAATTTAAAAGTTTTTTACCCCTCTTTCGACGGGTTTCGTCTGGGCGCTCAGACTTAACATTTTTACAAAGTTTTGTTACAAAATAATTAAGATTTAGTTATCGTAAGCACTCGCTGAATTGTCACTAGAATCCTTCCGCGTACCATTCACGAAAGTTGACTTGAAATTTAAAATGCTCCCATCTACTCAATATGTTTGTATCCTTTTCTTGTAGCCTAAATTAATTGTACATTCATTGACGGTTTCTTGATTCCGTCGATTTTTCCTAAGAACTAGTCCTCTTTTACATTGAATTTTAAAAACTAACACTTTTTTTTCAACTCTTAAAAGCAATTATTATAAGCATCTCCAATTGTATATGAATACATCCCGAGAGCCTTGCCTTTTATGCCGTCCGTAATGGGCAGCGGTGTTTTAATCTTAAAGTAATTTACATTTTAAAAGTGAAGTCCGAACGCGATGCGAATGGAGAAACCATGGTTAATTCATAACTGGTTAAGTGTAACGTGTAGCCGATGATGAGGTTCGTGTGAAAAATGGATGCACCGAAGTCGTTTAAAAACCGTTGCTCGTTAACAAGGAGTGGCTCTAGAAAACGAGAGGCACATGCCCTTTAGACCCGTGCTTTCCAGTATTCTCAGTGATATGCTAGCCGTTTTCACAATCTTTTTCTTAGATCCACCTCCAAGGCACCTGCTCCACGCTGTGTCCAATTGTGCACACTGTTTGCTCATAAGTGTAATAGGCAAATGCAGTTACTTCCGCGTTAGAGAGCATAGAAAACTGTAGAGATTAATTGGTGTTGAAATAGTGAAATCATGCATGATGTTGACACCGTACAAATATTTTTAATTTGTATCCTTTTTCGCAATCAGTTCCCTGGTAAAAATTGGCGATACGAGCTGCGTTTCAAAATACCTTAGGAGTTCTTATAGCCGACTAAAGAAGGCTATTGAAAATCATATAGCTGGCTGTAGAAAGCGGAGCAAATCATATAGCCGGGCTATACGCAGCTATGAAGAAGTATACAGTCGGGCTATAGTTCCTATCGCCGGGCTTTACACTTTATCGCCATTGCCTATAAAAGGCTATTAGAAATTGTGTAGAAATTCGTGTGCTTTGGAAATCGTTAAGTTTGATACGGAACTACCTTAATATTTACAAAACACACATTATATTTTCCTTTAAAACATATTTTTTTTCATCAATTAAAATGAGATGGTCCATACAGAGTGTGCAAACATTTCAAAATCATGAGTTGAAAAACGCTGACTCCGCGAGATTAAATATTAGAGCCCAACACAAAGCGGAGCGGCGATGCATTGGCGCCTACAAACCTAACAGGGATACTTCACGCATTGCGCAATGCGTGAAGTATCCCTGTTAGGTTTGTACGCGCCAGCGGGCGGCGCGGCGTGCCACGTCGTCTGAAGCAACTATTTCACACCAGAGGTATTGCACAGTATCATAAGAAATTGAAGGCGCTCCAACATATTAAGAATGACAGGCATCCTTCCAAAGTACGGAGCTTTCCTCGCAAAATAAATCAAGATACTACGGCACAAAAAGAGAGCGGTAGTCCAAAAACTAACGAAGTCCTAGTATCCGTATTTAGTAACGTTTAGCATAAACTTTATCGTCTGGCTGTTGCTTAGTCGCGCCATCGGCTATAAAAGGCTATAAGAAATTGTACAGCCGGCTTTAGGTCTATAGTATTTTGGAACACACATTCTACTGCCAATTTTTACCAGGGTTTTGAGATTTCAAAAATATGTCGATGCTCGATGGCTATAGTGCGAAACCACGTATCTCCATTTGCGACGTCGCGGACTTCCGGTCATACTTAATTTTTTCTTTGGAAAAATATTAAACCTGATCCATCGAAAACTTGATTGATTTTTCATCTCTGTTAGCAGAATATTTTGTATGAATTTCAAGCTATTCTGATAGACTTTTTCCTCATTGGAAATGTAAAATAGGAGCAGAGATTTTGAAACACTGCAACAGAGATTCGTGATTTTGCACTTTAGCCATCGATATATTTAAGTTCGCCATGGAAATTCAGTTTTGTGGACGGAGTTAAGTACATCATCTTGCACAACATTATCTTAAAGTAAAAACAAAATTGGAAATTATCACTATTTTAAATGAAATATTAAAGTTTGGTAAATTTTATAAAATTCAGTTTTTTACAATTATTTGATCAATTAAGTCAAGAGATATTTCATTTTTTTAATTTATTTTTTAAAAAAAGCTCAATTTCAATGAAGAATTTTAAATAAATGCAATATTAGCTCAGTCAATGGCACTGTATTAAAACATACTTAATACCCACGTACGAGTGGCCTGTTTGGTGCGTTGTTAATGGACATTACTCCAGTGTGGCGCTCACGATAGCTGTGAGTATCAATCGTATTTGGAGCACCGGTGGCAAAAGCGATACGTTTATTAATAGCTTCATTTGGAGACGCGGGGCGCAACCGGTTGGGGATTATTGGGGGGCCGGGCCTGGTCGGGCCCGGTTGGAGTAAGTAGGAAGCTAATTGGATCGAGGGCGTGACCCAGGACCCACGGAACCGGGCAGCAAACTCCTAATCAGACCAAAATATGACCATCGTTCAAAAAACAGAACACCCTGGCCCCTGGCCATCCTGGCGCATGGCAAGTGACCCTGCCCACTTGGTCCCAGCGAGATCTTCACGCTACAATAGAACCTCGTTTTTAGGAGTCCCGGTCTTGCTGACAAGATCCACTGCATGTGGCTCAATTTGACCAGTTCATTTTTTTCCCCTCTCTTTATATATAGAGGTGTCCTAGGACTCCTAGGGTTGAACCGTCGGACTGCAGGAGCGTGTTTGGAGCACGTTTAGCAGAAAGGAACCAAGCCACATCAGCTATTGCCGAATTAACCGGGCTCTTTAATTTTTTACAAGAGAACGCTTGTGCGGATGCCTTTGAAAATTTGGAAAAATTTGCTTCGCACCATGCAGAAAATTCACTGTTTGCACTAAAATCCACCTAATCGTTTCATGAAAAAAAACTAAATTGCTTAATATTATTTGCAATAGCTGATGTATCTTGGTTCCTTCCTGCTTAGCAGTCCATTTTATCGGTCAAAATAGGGTTTTCTCTAAAACTGCCGCCAAGTTCATTTTGGATTTTTTCAATGTTTTCCACTCATTCCAAAACAAATTTTCCCCCTCCCCGCGGATCCTCCATCACATACAAGTAGCCTCTTTGCAGAATAAATGGGACTTAATGAAATGCTACTCAACATTCTTTTTGAGGGCCAATCAGGGCCCAATTATGAAAGGCAGGCAGCACTGTTTCAAAACCAGCACGCGAGAACTGATTTTACCGAATGACAACACTGTAAGGACCGTCAGGCGCGTTTTTTCTCTTCCCATACTCCGCATCCCGTTCTCTAGATGACATGGCAATAGTCTCAGCTCTTATTGACGACTGTTTTGTCTGGAAACGATCTTACCCCACTCTAAGCCTC